TTAAACTGGTAACTCAGGGAATGTGTGAACGTATGGTGCCAAAGCGGTCCGGCCTTCGAGACGGTGGGAGCGATTTGGGAGCATTTACCCCTCAGGGGGGATCCCAGGCTGGCCTTGGGGTGTGACATGTCCTGAAACATGATGTTACTACAAATCTTAAAACCTTATTGTTGTGAAAACCACGCCTTCAGGTATCTGAGATTCCCCTCGAATGAAGACCCCCACTTACCGAGCATGAGGAGTAAAGTTAAAAAATGCCACACGTTTAAATCAAAGTGGGAGAAAATCAATTGTCATTAAGAAGAGATAGCTAACCAATTATAATTAGAGGGATGGGCTAAATAAGACACATTCAAACGGTATAAATACCTGACACGGCTGTAGCTGGGGCTGCTGGCTTTGTGCACTACCACCCAGCATCCATCCCTGCGCAGAAATGTCATAAAACCTCAACTCTGGCTGGGTTGACCTGTTGCCCACCGGCTGATGAACTCCAGTTTTGGGACAACACCTTCAGCCTGTTCCTGGCCCCTCTGAGCAGCAGGACCGTTCAGACTCGTGCCCAGCCCATGGGGGGCACCCCGGGACTCAGGACGCGGTGGGACGCAGCCCACCCCATTGCTGGGGGCTCCAGCAGCCAGGCCCAGCTCAGGCCCCCTGCCCAGCCAGGGCCCTGGTGCCATCCCCGCTGCTGCTGTGGGCTTGGTTGTGCCGCCACTTTGGGGCACACAGGGGGGTCCCCCCAAGCTGAACAAATTCCCAGAGTTTTCTCGGTGTTTCTCCTACTCGTAGCTTGCTGCGCTTCCCCTTTCCTTTTCCTTTTGAGGCCAACCCAGAGGCGAGCTCTCCTACCGCCGTACAAAGGACAGCGGATGGTCTTCGCCTCGTGCAAATCCTCCTCCTGAAATAACACCACGGGTCCCAGAAACACCTCGAAGTGGAGAAGGGGAGACAAGAAGGGAGCCGCAGCCATCAGCACCCACCTCTGCAGCTCCTGGGACCTGCTCCCAGCTGGTGCAACCAGTGCCATGGCGGGAGAGGCAGGTCCCCAGCTGAGCGTGTTGAACCTGGTGGCTATGTTTGAAGAGCACTGGTAAGGAGGGAGCGTCCTGAGCATTGTGGGTGTGTTAGGGCTCCACAAGGTGTGGGTTTTGGAAAGAAGAAACCTGCCGTGGAGGTGGTTTGGAGGTTGTGGAGCAGCTGACTAGGAGATTTGCTGTTCTTTAGCACTTGGATCTACCCCAGTGTCTTCCTCCTGCTGCGGGTCGTGGACAGAAGTCTGAAAACCTCAGTGGGATGTGACTGACTTTGTTGGAGGTTTCTGTGCCTGGCTCGGGGTTGGGTTGGGACATGCTTTTTCCCTCCATGCTCAGCACATTTGCAGTCAGCCTGGCTGCTGAATGCTTTTTCCCCTGCTGCTGGGGAAGAGGGATTTTGATTTGCAAATATGTAGGCAGGGGTCTTCCCTGGGAATTAACTGCTTGAGCGTCTGGGAGGATCTGAGCCTCAGGCACCAGCCTCAGGCTGTCTGGTTGTTTGCAGCGATGGGGCTCCTAGGAAAGGGAAGAGAAAGCATCGTGTTAAGGGGGAGAGCAAGTTCCTTTTGGGTTGCACGGTGTGAGCTGGGACCCTCAGACAGTGTGTGCCAAGGTCAGAGTGAGGGGATCTGCCTTGCCCCTAGTGTATAAGTAGTTCTGAGTTATCGTTGTGGTCCGTGCCTCAGTTTCCCCATCTGTTGAATCAGGATACTGACTCTTGCCTTTCTTTGTGTCAGTGAGGTGCTCCCAGTGAGTCTTGTTGAGGCTGGGTGATTGGGCAGATGAGTTTTGCAGCACGTCCTAAAGATCACAGAATGGTTCTAGTCCAACCCCCTGCCGTGGGCAGGGACATCTTCCACTAGCCCAGGTTGCTCAAAAGATGGCCAGGCACAAGATTTCCTTCTGCTCTGGGAACTTCTCCTGCATCTCCAGTGCGTGCTTTGCTCCAGGCTTTGGTTGTGGTTGTCCTCATGGTCCCACAGTTGAAATTTGGCCGGTGATGTTGCATTGGAACCATTTGCGGCGTTTGATCTGCCTCCGTTCCGCTCCTGCAGTGTGTTTGTTGTTGATCATGAAGTGTGAGTTTGATTTAGAGGAAATAAAAGTAACTTAACGACTTTCAGAGGAAGCTGAGGAACCTGGAAACAAGTTTTCTGGAACAGGAAACAATTGAACCCAAGTCAGAGCAAATAGAAAGAGAGAAGTACCCTGCTGGATCTCAGCAGCGGGTTTAGGCTGGCACGGGTCTGGGAGGTTCTGGGAGGGACAGATAAAGCCTCTCTGTCTATGCCAGCCCCTGTGAACAGGAGGAGATGTTTGCATGGCTGCGGATGCACCCCGAGCCTACAGCATGGGGATGGACCCATCACCCTCTTCAGATGAACATCTGCCACTCAGGTCATCTCCTGTCATCAACTTTGTGGTTTTATGTCCAGTTTCATCCCAGTTTCCCCCTCCTCCTCACCCCGCTCCTGTCTGCAGGCCACTGGGGGATGTTTTTCCAGTTTCTGCCCGGAGCAGACCAGCTCTCAGATGACAGACAACTCTCTTGCTGTCACCTTCACAGCATGTGCCCTGTGTGGCTTCTCCCCGGTGCTGGCTCTGGATCGGTTTTCCTTGTCTTTGCCAGAAAAGGGAAGAGAGAAAACCTCCAAAAAACTACCCCTCTACAAAACCACCTACACCAGCCCTCCTCTTGGCTACTTGGCTTTTAAAGCCTCGTGCCAAGGCTGCTGGCTCCCCACTTGGACTCCACAGTGGCAGCAGGCAGAAAGCCGGGGCTGTGCCGGCGCCGCAAAGGGCAGGACGATCCTTCAGGGAAATAAACGACTGCGGGTGGGATAAATGGCAGATTTGTGCTTTTCTAGAGTGGGCTGGGGACTGACTACATCAGCAGGAGGCACTGGGAGAAGAGGGGCTGGTCCCTGGCCCCACTGGAGGACGCGCGGGGCTCTCAGACCCCGGGTTGTATCGGCAGGGGTGTAGCGGAGCAGAGCGCTGGGGTGCTGCTGCGTCGTGTCACCTTCGCTCAAGGATGGTGGCTTTAACCTGGGCTGTGCTGTGCTGGGGGAAGAGGTGAGCTGATCACGCTGATTCCTCTGTGGCAGGGCCGGCAAATTTCCCTGGAGGGACAAGCAGGCTCCGCACAGCCAGGCTGCTCCTGCAACCAGCCCATCCCAGCAGCTTCCAGCATCCCCCAGCAGCCGGGGCCAGAGACTCTCCCCGGTGGCTGACAGGCACCGAGCAGAGCAAGAGGATGAGGAGGAGGAGCAGCAGCAGGGTCGGCGAGGGCTCAGCTTCAAATGCCTCCGTTCTTTCCGACACAAGATCAGTGAGGACAACTGGAGGAGGTGGCAGGAGCCAGGCCTGGAGCCTGGCAGCAAGGTGAGCTCTGGAGGCAGCTCAGGCGAGACTGGCGGGTGCCCACGCTCAGGCGGGGAGTCGTGTGGGTTGGATCGGAGCCGAGGTCTCTGCTGGCCCTGAGCACATCCCTGCCCTGCAAGGGGTGACAGAGAAACAGCCCCTTCCCTGGTGCTTTGGGCACAAATTCCGGCAGATCTGAGCAGACCTTCTCCCTTTCAGCTCTGGTATAACCATGCCATGGGGGCCACACGCACACGTGGGCCCAGCCAGGTCTGTCCCAGGGCATCCTTGGGGCTGTGCTGCCCTTTGCCGACTGCAGGCGTGTTTCTGCAGGACTGCATTCAAGTCCTTGGCACAACTGCAGCCCATGGGGTTAACCCACCCCACCCTGCCCCACTCCCTGGGGTCGCTAACCCTGTATTGCTCCGGGAGGACCTGGCACAGAGAACAGGGTGACCCAGGAGGATATGAGCCAGGCTTCCTACAGCCCCAAACCAGCTTCATTTTCACCCTTGCTTTTGCTGAATGCTTTGTTGAGGTCCTTCCCTTGCCTGCACCTGGAGCAAGGTCCAGTTTGATGCTGAGCTGTGGGCTGTGGACACGGGAACAGAGTTGAATCCCCTCAGGCCAGTGGGGGTCACATCTCTGCCCACGAGACTGAGCCCTTCTCCCCATGCAGGAACCAGAGGAAAAGAAAATCGCTCTGGAGCTGCTGGAGACAGAGCAGGCTTACGTCAACCGCCTCCACCTTCTCGACCAGGTGAGCTACAGAGCAGAGGGGCCCACACAAGTCTGGGAGGTGTCAGCCCTGCTGCCATCTGCCCCCACCAGCACAGCCTGGCCACCCCGCGATGACAAACCAGGCGTCACCACGGCATGGCTCCACACTCAGTCCTGTGCTCCTCAGCAGGGCTTGGACACTGGGGCAGTGTCTGGGCTCCGTTCTGGGTATGCACAGGCCCGGGACTGTTCCCTGGAGGTTTTAGAGAGAATGAAGCTGTAAAGATGAGAGCCACACTGGCCTGCTGGTCTTCATGGCCAAAGAGTGATTCTGGCCTTGGCCTTTCCTACACTCCACAAGGAGCATCTTTGTCCAAATAAAGCCTTCCATCCCCCCTGTTTCTCTCTTGGAGCCTGGGATTTCCCTCCTGCACAGAGTCAGGCTTTTTCACTGGGAAATGTGCTGGTCTCAGGGAGGGAATGGGGTCCTTAAGCCTCTTCCTGACCCTTTTTATTCACCTCTTCTTCTAGATATTCTATGCAGAGCTGATGAAAGAAGCCAAAAATGGGAAAACAGTCCCAGAGGAGGTGGTGAAAATGATCTTCTCCAACATCTCCTCCATCTACCAGTTCCACGCCAAGTTCTTCCTGCCAGAGCTGCAGAAGCGCATGGAGGATTGGTGAGCCGCAGGAGGGGAGGGCAGGATACCTGGGTTGCTTTGCCAGAATTGGGGAGCAGTGATGAATTTGGTCTCCCCCCAAGACCAGAGAGCTCAGCCTGTTTCACTCCAAATGTCTTTGTGCTGGGAAGCACTTCCTTAAAACATTCCAGGGTAAAAAAAGGTCCTGAAAAATGGGGGTGACATCTCAGGTGCTTTAGGGGTGTGCCAGGGTCCGAACAGCCCAGGATGGCTGCAAGCTGGGGACATTCCTGATCTGGAGAGCGGGAAGTTCCATGGGGACGTAGCAGGTCACACCTCCATCCTCCACTGTGCATAAGCTGTCCCTTCGCTCAGACACGCCGTCCCTCAGTGTCTGTCTGCCCCGCTGGACTGAGGAAGGTGCCGGTCTGCGGTTCCCTCCCACAGGAGCTGCAGCCCGCGGATTGGGGATGTGATCCAGAAGCTTGCACCGTTCCTGAAGATGTACGGTGAATACATAAAGAACTTTGACAAGGCCCTGGAGCTCATCACTGTCTGGTCGGAGAAATCCCCGCCCTTCCAGGAGCTCATCGCTGACATCCAGGTAATGGGCCACAGCAGGATGGGGGACCACAGTAATGCTCCCCAAAATCTCCCCGCAAGGGAGAAGCAGCAGAGGGTGGGAGCTGCCTCGGTCACTGTTTCTCTCTCTGTGCGCGGTGTGTCTCCCCAGAAGAGGAAGGTCTGCGCTAACCTAACGCTGCAGCACCACATGCTGGAACCTGTGCAGAGGATCCCGCGCTATGAACTCCTCCTGAAAGATTATGTCCGAAAACTACCGCCTGAGTCCCCAGACCGGGACGATGCAGAGAGTAAGGGCTCCGTCTGGCTCTCCCTGCTGTGGGGAGCGGTGGGATGGTTTTGTAGGGGAAATAACAACCCCTGATGTTGTACATGGGCATCAGGATACCTGGATTCTCTCACCAGCTGCCCCATGCCCTTTGATAAACCTCTCAGCCTGACCCTTTTCTAGCAGGGAGAGGGATTAATCTGCACTTTCAGGGTTTATGGAGGTCAGCAGGGAAGGTGGGTGGTGTTTCAGGATAAGGATGGTCCTTCCCGAGCATCCCCCAGGGAGACCTGCAGTGACCGGGGGAGCTATCAGAGCCTTGCAGATCACAGCAGCTCCCAGTCCTGCTGGGATGGAGCGATAAATGGGTGGGCTGGCTGTCCCCCCAGGACCCCACCACGGCACACCGCACAGTTCAGACAGACCCAAACGTTCAGGGCCATTCGGGTTGTGGCCAGGGGATGGCAGCAGCCACCACACGCGTGGCTTCCCCATGAGGGACAGACTCAGGGTTTTTCTCCCACAGCAAGTGTTTAACCCTTCTCCCTTTTTCTTCTCATTGCAGAAGCCCTGGAGATGATTTTTATGGTGGCCAAGCACTCAAACGCAGCTATCACCGAGATGGTGAGTGCCTGTCCCAGCTGGCAGAGCTCTGCAGCTCACAGCAGGGTGATTTGCCAGATTTCCTCATTGCTGTGTGACTCAGTGGAGCACAGCCCTGCCCTGGATGGGACACTGTGGGGTCAGCAGAGGAGGTTAGACCCTGCTCTTGGTGCCTGATCCTGTCACCCCAAGCCTGTGGAAGTCATGTCTGCAACATCAGGCGTGATGTGACCGGCTGTTTCGAGGCTGGGAGCTATCAAAGATCAGTCTGGGGTGAGAGAGCTGTGGCTGATACACAGCAGCTGGCATGGGAGGTGGGGATGGAGGGGACACAGGAGTGACAAGATTGTGGCTGTTCAGCTCCCCACAGAAACAGGTCCCTCTGCCTCCCCCAGGAACGGCTGCAGAACCTCTGGACAGTCTATCAGCGGCTGGGCCTCGAGGACGACATCGTGGATCCCTCCAACGAGCTGATCAAAGAGGGGCCGATCCAAAAAATCTCCACCCGCAACAACAGCACATCGGAGAAGTACCTGTTCCTGGTGGGAGCTGGGATGCCCAGGGGAAGGGGCAGGGAGCAGGTGGGATAGGAGTGGGGAGAGGGGCAGCATAGCCTGGCCAGGATGTTGCTGGGTCATCCCTACACAGAGGGGATGAATTCAGAGGTGGGGGTCTGAGCCCCCCCGGTGCAGGGGACCCTGTATAGGACGTGGTTGGGAACCTGCTCATCCCCTGGGCACGTCCTTTTGGGGTGCCGTGCTCCCAGAGTGCTTCACTTTTGCAAGGTGGGAGAGAGCTGGGGCAGAAGCAGTTCCTTTTTGTACTGGATTCTTCCCAAGGACCAGCTCAGCCCCACGGGGGTGAAGGACTTTCAATCCCAGGGAAGCCCCCAGCTCTGAGCAGGCGGGTGCTGGCCTCCCACCAACCCTCTGCTCCTCCCCCCTGCCCAGTTCAACAACATGCTGCTGTACTGCGTGCCCAGGGTCATCCAGGTGGGCGCTGAGTTCCAGGTCCACCTACGCATCGATGTGGACAGCATGAAGGTCAGACAGGCACCTTGTCTTTGTGCTTCCCCCACACCCTGGCTCCCCTAAAACGCACCACCCTGCTCTGGGGGTGTGATGTGGCTGCTGGCCCGCAATTCCTCAGAAAGGAGGGAGGAACTGGAGCCAGGGGTGTCTTTGTGGATGAGGAGGAATTGTTGATACGATCTAATCGTGTGGGATTGCAGTGCAGCCTCATGTGTGTAGGATTTGAGGGGCCAAAGGGCTTGTACCCGAGGGAAATCCCTGTCCCCCACATCGTGGGGGAAGGTCCACGTGTGCTGGATGTGGGTTCAGCTGCTCCACATCCTTTCTTCGGTCTCAGGTGCGGGAGCTGAACGACACAGAGTTCCCTCATACCTTCCTGGTCTCGGGAAAGCAGCGGACACTGGAGCTGCAAGCGAGGTAAGGGGAAGGGTGACGGTCCTGCAGACCCTCTCAAGGAGGAGGGATGCCAGCTCATTCACCTCCCATTTTGTACCAGGTCTGAGGAGGAAATGAACGCCTGGATCAAGGTACCACTGAGTGCTGGGAGAGACAGCTCAACTCACTCACCTCGGCTTGGATGCCTGGGCCCCAAACCGGGCTGATCCCCCGCTGCCTGTGTCAGGGCAGCCCCCCCAACTGTCCCTCCAGCCCTGCCTTCCCCTTTAGGCCTTCCAAGATGCCATTGACAGGAAGGAGAAGAGGAGTGAGACCTTCAAGACAGCAGTGCCTGGGCTGGAGACCAGCACCCCCGCATTGAAGGTAACCCCCCTGCCCTCCCCATGCCCTGCCTGCTTCCAGCAACCCCCTGCCTGCAAGCTCAGAGAGAGCCCACCTTGCTGTGCCTCAGTTTCCCCAATGAAACAGAGCTGGGGGGGAAGGCTGCAGCCAAGGGGAAGGGCTGGGGGAAAGAGAAAGGTGACAGCAGGGGGGCTGGGACCACCCGGACCACAGGTAGCCAGCCCCAGTGATGCCATCTCCCACCCCCAGACAGAGGAGCTGGGCCGCCGAGCCCCACAGTGGGTACGGGACAACGTGGTGACCATGTGCATGCGCTGCAAGGAGCCCTTCAACGCCATCACGCGCCGGAGACACCACTGCCGAGCTTGTGGATACGTGAGTCACCCCGTCCCCCCTCTCTGCCCTCCCTCTTGGCCGCTGCGGCAGGAGCGCACCTCTCCTTATACCCTGTACCCCTTTGCCCGGGCTCAGGGCTACTCCTGCTCCTCCTGGAGTTGTCCCTGGGATCCCCCAGCCCTGCCCCAGTCCCACCAGTGTCCCTGTCTGGTGGCTGCAGGTGGTGTGCGCTCGCTGCTCTGACTACAAGGCCAAGCTCCCGTACGATGAGAACCGCCTGAACCGCGTGTGCCAGGAGTGTTACGTCCTCCTGACGGGCCACGTGGTGCTTGAGGACCGGGAGAGGAAGCACAAAGGCATCCTGGAGGTGAGCTCTGCCCCTCTCTGCCTGTCCTCTGTCCCTCTTCCTCCAAGCTCTGCTGCCACCTCGGTCCCCAGCACTGCTGTCACCGCTCCCGCAGCAGTCAGAGCGTCCCTGCTAATTGTGAGGCTGGGGGATGTGCTAAGCTCCCTCCCACCTTGTGAGGTATCTGGGGTTCCTTCTGCCACGAGGGTCTCAGCAGGACCCTCACAGCCCGGACCCCCCCTCGCCTGCCCCCAGTTTGGGGGGGTTTCGTGGAGCGGGCAGGGAATTCCCCAAGAAACCCCCTTCACTCGGTGGCCGTTCTGCCTCCCACACGGGGTATTTAGGGATTTGCTTGTGGGGTTTTTTGGCAGAAAGGAGCCACAGAAGTATCAGACAAGAGCTTGCTGTGCGGTTCCCTGCAGCTGCTGGACAAGAACGGCAAGGGAGGCACGCGCGGCTGGTTCGTGATCCCCCAGGATGATCCCCTGGTGCTGTACATCTACGCAGCCCCCCAGGTAAGGCCGGGCTTGGCTCTGTCTGCAAGGGACATCCCGGTGTGCCCGTCCCCTGCCTCCCACCACTGTCTCCGCTCTTGGCAGGACGTCCGAGCCCACACCTCCATCCCTCTGCTGGGCTACCAGGTACAGGACGTGCCCTGGGGCGACTCCCGGCACCTCTTCCAGCTGGCGCAGTCGGTCTGGGGCGGGTGTTCACCTTCGTGGCTGACAGGGGGGAGCTGAAGCGGCGCTGGATGAGGGCCATGGCGCGCTCTGCCGCGGGGATCACGCACCCGGAGGAGGGCGAGGATGCCGACTCCTGCGATGAAGCAGAATGAGGCCATGCCCACCTCCTGGGCTGCCCGGTGGGTCCAGCCTCCCCCTGCCCGTCCTTGCTCATGGCCAGCCTCAGGCAGATGTACGACCTCTCTGCCTCTTGGTTTTTCATCACTTTCAGGGACACGTTTGCCACCACACGGATATGCCGCATCCCCCTTTCCCTCCCTCCTCACCCTCCGCCCTGGACCGAGACGATGGAGGTACCCGAGCTGTGAGGTGCAGGGAGAGCTGGAGGGTTTTGGGGACCCCGTACCCCTGCAGCCAGCCCTGTGCCATGCTCCCAGCTGCCGCCCGAGGGCAGCAATGCCTCAGCCTTCCTCCCAGCCTGGTGGTGGAGGGTAGGGGGGGATGCCCAGTTTGGTGAAAGCATCTGTGGAATTGGGACTGCTGGGATAAATCCTACCTGCAACCCCCGTGTGCAGTCCGAGGAGCCTTTTTTTGGGGGTGTATTTTCCAGCGCACCCCATGGGGTTGTCACCTACCCCCGTGTCTGTAGCTGACCCCACTCAGACACCCCGCACAGACCCGGCTTGTGGCTCACCCTCACCCGGGAGCCCAGGGCTGGATTTCGGATGTC